TTTATTTTTATTTGCAAGGCAAACTTAAAGAGAGCAGGAGGAGAGACAGGAAGATCTTCTGTCTGTTGGGTCACTCAAGTGGCCACAATGGCCAGAGTTGAGCTGATCTGAGCCCAATAACCAGAAGCTTCTTCCGGGTTTTCCACATGGGTGCAGGGTCCTAAGGCTTTGGGCCGTCTTCTACTACTTTCCCAGGACCACAGGAAGAGAGTTGGGAGGGAAGTGGAGCAGCTGGGACACAAACAGGCGCCCATATGGGATCCCAGGACATGCAAAGTGATGATTTAGTTATACTAGGCCATCGCGCTGGGCCCCATACCAAAATTTTTTTATTATACCAAATTTCATGTTTCTTCTCCAATATATTAGATTCTGTCTCATCCTTTGGATTATGAAAAAAAAAAGGCACATGGTGATGAATTCCACCAAATCAGTTCACATTCAGCATTGAAAGCATGGGTGTTAGAAGTAACCATTACCTAAGTTTTTATGCATGCTCTAGTCAAGAATTTCAACTGATTAAAATCTGATAAAGCATTTAAATGACATACATTTAAATACAGTGCTGCTCGTTCTTTATACTAAGATAAAGATTCAAAAGTAAAAATGCAATAAAATACTCCTTTTAGAAAAGAACACAGCAGCCTAAAATACTTGCAGTGTGAGTGAGACTGCCCAACCAAATGGGAAGCTGGAGAAAGAATGGCTTTGGAATAGTCAGCATTTCAAGTTCATATCATCTTGGAAAGCACTGTTCCCTCTTGTTTCAATGTTTGCTAAAGTACAAGCTAGATCTCCTTAGAATAGGGTGACAGGCTCGCTAGGAATTACACCATCACATTTTTTTAAATCCTAGTTTCCAGCACGGAGTGAGCTAACACAGCAGACCACAGATCACACCTGAGATGAGAACAGGATACAGCACTTCCACGGACTTCCACGGACTTCGTAAAGACCTCGGCCACCGGAGCAGGGGCGTAGCTCATTTGCAAGAACTGCTTATGCTTTTCAGGCCCTGACCAACCTTTTCCACAAAGATAGGTTCCAGATGAGACCAGCGCTGAGAGAAGGGTGCCAAATACTTGGGAATGCTGAACACGCTTCAGAGTAGCGCCGCTCTCCTGCAATGAGTTTTGACTTAGTGTCTTAGCAAATTCCTTTCCATGGATATAATAGCTCCATTTATAACAGGGTTCAACAGAGAAGCAGGATTTGCTTAGCCAAAATTCACCTCCCGGCCAAATCTTTTAATGTGCATCATAAAGCAAGAGATGCATTCGTTATGTTTCCATCTCTCATCTCTGTGTCTGCTCACTTCACCTTCGTGCACCAACCCGGCGGGAGAAGCGTGACTCCTGGAGAATGGAGCTAATTCAGCAAATATGACGGAGCTTGCCTGCAAGAAGTCACCATTGCAGGGAGCAGCATCTGACACGACCCCTCATCCGCCACACATACACACAGAGCAGGTGGGGGCAACCCACCCCAACTCCTCCACCTTAAAAACAGAACTAACTCACAGTGCAAGCATCTTTCTTGCTGTGTTATTCTCACCTCTGAGAGATGAACGTTCAGCGATGATATTTGATTTCCTTGGGATCACAAAGTTAAACGTCTGGCAGTGACCTCAAAGCCAAGATTCTTCTGTGCCTTCCAACCACAAATGCCACCGCTGCCTTCACCCACTGAACCAGCTGGTCTGGCTCGCGCGAAGAGCGCCGTACCCATTTTTCTCCTCTTTCTCACATTCAGCTGCTTTTCTTTCTTCTGATGGAACTTCCTCACTTCTTCACCCAGCTGAACAACTGGCTTTGTGAAGTCCAAATCCTCCAAAAGCAAGCTACTTTGTTCTTCACTGGCTCCAAATTCTCTGATTAGAAACACAAGAGGTCTTCCAGAGGACCATGGGAAAAATGGAAAAAAAAAAAAAAAACAAGGCACATTCCCACATGAACTTGGGGAAGTTCCTACATAGGATGCTGACCAAGGTTTATGTCAGATTAGAGCAGTCTTTATGTGAAATTACATCAAGGAAACGCCATGTGGGGAGGGAAGGGGCGGGAGGGGAGGGAAGAGGGCGGGGGGGGGGAGGGCAGAACAGGGCAGCCTTGCAGGCGGGGGCTTTACACGGTATAACACTATCTCAAGGGGCAGGAAGGAGATGAAGGCAACCACATCATTCATTTGCACTTCAGATTATTCACTTTCCTAACTAATCAATAATTGTTATAATTAAAATTGATAGCTGCAAATAACATGATAGAGGGCCGCTGCCAGAATACTGATTGTGTCTTTGGCTTGGAGAGATAGGCAGCAGCGTGGAACACTTATTTTCCAATTTGCTCTTAGCTGTGTGCAAATTGCTTTCACCGTATCCAGCTGATTTAGACCCTGCCTGGAGGTGCACTAGATTAATTGGAAGCCACACATTCACTGCTTACAGAATGGACTCTGTAATTGGCGAAATTTGTTAGTGCCAGTTATAAAATAACTACAGAGTTCTGCTTTTAGCTGTCCTTCCTTTACTTGTTCTGCGGGAAGGGCGGTGAGAGCAGGACCACTGTGACGGTGAAGGGCTGAAGGCACACCTTGCACACAGCGACTCCGAGGCGTGTAACCACGGTCGCGAGTGTAAATGTGGTATTGATTTGTTTCAAAACCGGAAAAGTACTTGAGCACACGTAAGACTTTTTTTCCCCACCTTTGTTGTGACTGAATTTTAGATAAGAGAAGCCAGTTTGCAGGAACCGTGAGCAGATTTTTCCAATTCTTCTTGCTTTCCTCTGCTAACCTCACTGCATGAAATAGAACAAGCATTCTCTCTCACTCATGGCAAATGAAAGCAGCGTGAACAGCGCGGAAGCCACCATGGCGTGCACTCTGGTTTATCTTCTTTCTTCTACTCTTTTCTTTGGTCTCTGGGGACCGCCAGGGCATCCACGCTGCCTACTTAAAAAACCAGATGAAGCTCGCATTGGGCACCCAGCCTATTTTTCAGGAACAAAATCTGAAAGGCTGGAAAAAATAAATGAAAGCTAGACGTATAGACAATGGAAACAAAAAGATAATTGTCTTCTTATCCTTTAAAAAGTATTTGCAGTCAACAGACATTACGAGGGTGAATTACGCTCTTCAAACAGCTCTTGCTATACTGCTTTGTATACCAAATTGCACCATATCTCCTTCCACACAGACTCCAAAACTGTACTTAGGCAGGCACCTTGGTGCAGCAGGCTGAGGATGCCTGGTTCCCGTTCCAGCTAAGCTGTGCTTCCAATCCAGCTTCCTGTCAGTGTGCCTGGGAGGCAGCAGAAGATGGCCCAAGTCCCTGGGTTCAAGCCACACATGTGGGAGACCTAGATTGAATTGTGGGCTCCTGACATCAGCCTGGCCCAGCTCCAGCTGTTGTAGGCACTCTGGTGTTGAACTAGCAGACGTAAGATACCTCACTCTCTATTTAAACAAACATATACATATTTGCAGAGAGTAGAAATGTCAGGCAGGACTCTGTCACATGTGACAAAGCACCAACTCAAAGTCATCTAACTAAACAAACAGATTTCAAAAGCGGAAATGGAGTGTCCATTGATTTGGGTCACTGAAAAAGAAAGGCTCCCAAAAGTGTCACAACTGTCTCCTTTCTCACCTTTATTTCTTGTAAGTTTCATTTTCATAAAAGCCCCCATATCAAGGAGGCCGCTTCACTTCCCAGATGGCCATAACAGCAAGAGCTGGGCAAACCTGAAGCCAGGAACCAGGAGCTTCCTGTGGTTCTCCCACATGGGTGCAGGGACTCAACACCCGAGCCATCCTCTATTGCTTTCCCAGGCCACAAGCAGGATCTGGATGGGAAGTGGAACCACCAGGACACTAACTGGTGTCCATATAAGATACTGATGCTTGAAGATGGAGGATCAGCCTATTGAGCCAAGGCATCAGCTCGAAACAAAATGAATTTTTAAGAGAAACAAGAAGGCTCCGGTGCTGGAGGCTTGGTCTCCAGTGTGGCGCCCTGAAGTGCTGGAACTCTGGGAGACAAGTCCAGTGCAGGGTTACTGGGGCACGCCCCGTGGCAGTGAGTCAGTGCTCATGAGAAAGGCTTATTCTAGAAGACAGAACCTGACCCGGAACCTCGCTACTTCCTTGCGCACCTCATGGACAGTGGCTACTTCTCTCTCCTCTTTTTTTTTTTTTAGAGATTTTATTTTTATTGGAAAGTCAGATATACAGAGAGGAGAGATAGAGAGGAAGATCTTCCGTCCGATGATTCACTCCCCAAGTGAGCACAACGGCCGATGCTGTGCTGATCCGAAGCCAGGAGCCTCTTCCGGGTCTCCCACACAGGTGCAGGTTCCCAAAGCCTTGGGCTGTCCTCGACTGCTTTCCCGGGCCACAGGCAGGGAGCTGGATGGGAAGTGGGGCTGCCGGGATTAGAACAGGCGCCCATATGGGATCCCGGGGCGTGCAAGGCGAGGACCTTAACCACTTGCGCCACCGTGCTGGGCCCTTCTCTCTCCTCTTGTAACTCCACCAAGGGACCCCGTGCAGCTAGAGCCAGCCCCCCTGTGGCCTACAGCATCCAAGGCTGTGTGCTAAATTAACATCCTCCTAAGTTTTCCATTTTATTGTAAGATTTCATGTATTTGAAAGGCAAAGTTACAGAGAAAAAGGGAGCGAGAGAGAGAACAAAAATCAGAAAGAGTTTTCATTTTTCTTACTTTCTGTAGAGCTACATATGACAACTAGGATAAAAATGACTCACAATAAGGAATCTCTCTTATGATTATGATCATACGAAGAAACTGTTTAAACCTCAGAGTGATTGATCAAGGAGACATATTTCAGAACATTGACTAAAAAATGGAAATTTAAATATGCAAATTAAAATCATTCTCACCATTATAAAGCAAATTTAATTGCACAAGAAAGAAAAAAAAATTCTCTGAGCAAAAAGCAAAAGAGTATTACCCTGGCACAATCCTCACAGAGTTGGCTCGTGCCCGCTTTGGCAGCGGACAGACTAAATCTGAAACGGTAGTGGGAACATCAGCATAGTCCCTGCGTAAGGATGACGTGTGAATTCGCGAAACGTTCTATATTTTTAAGATCAATAGCTCTTTCAATACTGTTTTTGCTACATATCAAGGGGGGTTCATATTTTTGTTTTTATTTTCATTCATTCACAAAAGTTTTTTCTTCTTAATTTCTTCATTGACTCACAGGGCACAGAGTAGCATCGTTTGCCTCAAAGAAGGTTTTTGATTTTTTTTTCATCTCTTCAGTGACACATTGGTCAAACAGTGGCATGTTATTTAACTTCATGTTGTTGATCATTTTCAATGTCTTCTTCCTGCTGTTGATTTTGTTTTATGACTTTTCATTTGAGGGATTTATAATAACTGCATAATAGAAAGATACAATGCCGTACGCAGCTCCACTTCCAGATCAAACATGGACTCCTAATACAACTAAATATAAATATACATGTGAATATATTTTGACAATAGGATGCTGGGCTCCCTGCCATTGTCCGTACCTGCAATGTCAGGATACACTTAAGTAGCAGAATGATGGACTCATGGCTGTTTATGAAGGACTGTACTGCTGCAGGAGAAATGAGCTGAGGGAATGGATACTTCGGGAGGGGTCAGGGAAATCGCAGAGCCCATGTAACTGTAGCATTAAATAAATGAATGAATGAATAAAACGAAAGCTTAAAAAAAGAATTTGGTCCTGCTCTGTTGTGACAAAGGATCCTGTAGGAATAAACGGGAGTGGGAGGTGTGACTTCAGCTGTCGCGTGTAGATTTTGAAGACAAGGGCCTACACGACAGGAGCTAAAGAGAATCACCACAGCCAGGATGCTCAACTTCGCGTCCGTTTTTTGCCCTTAGAAAAAGTCTTGCTGCATTTCAAGACCTCTAATTCTTACAACAACTTAACCACAAATTCTTTAGCCAGAGAATAGCCAAGTTAATGGTAAGAGGGGAAAGCGAATTGAGAGGGGGCTGGGTGGGGGTGATAGAGTAGTAACAGAATACAAGATTAAAAGCATTGACTTTGGAAAGTGCAAAGTCAATTTCATTATTAAAATCTCCAGAAGCACACACCTTAAGCAAGGAAGACTTATTTTGCAGAGGTGGGATCTCACCCACCTTCCTGTAGCCCTTGACCCTAAGCATCCTAATCAACTATGTAAAAATAATCAAAAATAAAATCAATTAATAATTAAAAATAATAATCATCTCATTACCACTCCAAAAATGTAGAGATAAATCGAAGCCATGATCGCTTCTGTGCAATATCTTTATCAGTTGTATAAAACGGATGTAGGCAATTCACAAGAATAAATCACATCGTGCATGGGTATTTTGACAGTGTACATTTGTCTCCAACACGTTTCTCACTAACAGTACAGGGACACTGACCCCCACACTCCCAGCAACACTGAACCCCATCTTCCTCACGGGTGGAAATCACTCCACTGCCATTTGCCATCACTCCGCAATCTCAGCTTCCCGTGCTCCTCCAGTCATCATTCTCACTTGCTATTTCTGCCACTCGCCTCTTGGCTATGAGGTTTCTGGCTCAATGCATTCAAAAATTCGAGCATGGGCCCGGCGCTGTGGCCTAATGGCTAAAGTCCTCACCTTGAATGTGCCACGACCCTATATGGATGCCGGTTCTAATTCCAGAAGCCTTGCTTCCCATCCAGCTCCCTGCCTGAGGCCTGGGAAAGTAGTTGAGGATGGCTCAAGGCCTTGGACACTGCACCCATGTGGGAGACCCGGAAGAGCTCCTGGCTCCTGGCTTCAGATTGGCTCAGCTCCAGCTGTTGCGCTCTCTTGGGGAATGAATCATTGGACGGAAGATCTTTCTCTCTGTCTCTCCTCCTCTCTGTATATCTGACTTTGCCATAAAAACAAATAAATCTTTTTTAAACATCCTGAGCATGAAAGTAAATCCTTTCAGGTATATTTTGAAAATATTTTATCAAGTTTCTTGTAAGCTACTTGACTTTACTTATGATGTTTTCCCCAAATGCAACTTGAAAAACATTTAATGTAATCAGATTATCTAGCTTTTTTCTTTGTTGCATCTGAATTTCACGCTAAGCACAGAAGTGCCATTCCAAATTCAAGAATTTAAATAAATGTATTCATGTTTTCTTCTGGTCATTTCTGGGTATTTTCACTAAAGATCTGATCTATGTGGAGCTTATTTTGTAAAAGAAATTAGATGGAAATCACAACTACGTTTTTTCCTAATTGGTTAACTGATGTGTCAAGGTATGCGAGGTAACAACAGCATACCACAATGTTTTATAACAAACAGGGATTTTTCATGTTTTCATTTACTAAATTTACTCCTCAGAAATACTGACAAATAGCATCCTTTGGTTATTTAAATTTTTCAAAACAAATTTCTTTTGAAAGGAAGAGAAAGAAGTATCTTCCTTCCACTTGTTCACTTCCCAAATGCTCCAAGCATCCGGGGCTTAGCTAGGCTGAGGCCAAGAGCCAGGAGCCCCAGCAAGTCTTCCCTGTGGTTGGTAGGAACCCGAGCCCTTGTGTTCCCATCCGCTGCCTCCGAGGTGACTTAGAAGGAAGCTGGGTGGGAAGTCGAGGCAGGACCTGAACCCAAGCCCTCTGATGGGGGATGTAAGATTCTTCAGCATCTCAAAGCCCACCCATATTTACTAAGTTTTAGGGTATGTTTCTTTAAGCATTATATTCCACAATTTGAAAGTAAACAAATCACAATTTTAAATGCTGGAAAGGAACATGAGAAAGGAATAACACCCACCATTCTTTTTGACATTTGCACTCTGTAAAACCACTTTTCAGGGACTCTGTCCCGGTAGCACTTCCAGGGGCCTCCAGGGCCACACACACTCAAACAGGTAAACTCACAAAACTCTTTAGCTTCAGGAACAAACACAGCAATATTTTCACTCCAGCAAAAATACATTAGTGTTCTGCACCAACAACAAGCCATGGAAATAATACCATTAGGTTTAAGATCCTATTGTTCAAAATACACTCAGAGACAGAAGGAAATATGTAAGCACTGCAGCAGGAACCAGGACAGGATGTGGAAGTCAAGTTCACTGTGCAGACTCATCCACTGAGAAGCACCATGTGGCTCTGTGGGAGAAACGCTGCTTGCCCCCTCCCGTCCTCCACACTTCTCCCACTCCACCCTCTTCTGCTGCCAGCTGCAGGCGCACCCCAGCTGAACCTGGTACCCTTTGTGCCAGCTGCCCCCTGCACATCTGGTGTGGCCTGTGTGACAAAAATTAAATGTCTGGGAGGCAAACAAGTGAAGTTAGCCTTCATTACCCTCCCCATCTCAGCACCCTCAACACCCTCTGTAAGCAGCAGACTACAAAGAATCTTCCAGAATCTCCATCTAGTGTTTCACCACCCCTGTCTCCTGTGAAATCTTGCATGCCTGGGATGGACGCTTCCCCCACACAGGCAATCCCTTCCCTCTTTCTCAGAGTTAAAATAAGTGTCCTTACAGGGGCTCCCAAGACCCCATCATGATATCCTCTCCTGACCCCACCCTGAAACTCACACCTAGCCTCTCACATTCGCTACCTTGCTACACTGAGAATATCCAATTCCCCCATGGAAGACAACAAAACAAACGAGGCTGATGGAAATCATTAAATGTGTTAAGCATGGAAATTTAAACCACAGACCTAGGAAACGTGTTGGATAAAGTGATTAGGGCATATACGTGTGAACTTAGACAGAAAGAAAGAACCAAGTAAATACTAAATATTCATGACACACTAAATATACATGAAGCACACAGATCCCTGAATATTCATTAGATCTTAAATATACATGAGGACATGAGTCACTCCGAATCCAAGAGGTCATACTTCCACACTTGTTGGTGATAACCACACACAGCCCCACCTCCCTCCTACCCCGGAGAAGCAGGTACACGTGTCTTGCTCACCAGGCTGGTGCTGCACTTGCGGGCCAGGGCCAAGTTTTCCAATAGAGAAGGCGTGGGCTGAGGGCAGGCATGTTCCAGGCTTTCCTGCCTGCCACCGTGGTCCTTAGCACTGCAAAACTTGGTGCATCGCAGAGACGGGAGACACGACGAGCATTCAACGACAAAATCCAGGCGGTCCTTTTACATGTTCTCATATGGACCTGGGTGTATCATTGCACTCCCAGTCTTTCACTTGCTCCTTACTCTACACTTTAAACTGTTTCGACAAACGTTCACGAATCTATCAGCTTTCCGTCTGGTGAGCTGGCTGGGCTGTGTAGCTGGAGGCCACCACGGCGTCAGGGACGCAACCCCCATAACACTTTGTCCAACATTCTGTCCCTGCTTGGCTCTCCAAGCTCTTGCTGCTCTCTAAACATTTCAAACACATCTTTACCTGAGGACCCTCGTGCTCACGCAACCCTCGGCCTCCACTCATCTACCTGCCCCGCGCCCTCGCGTCGCCTCCTTTGAGACCCGTACGTGAGTGACGTCATCTCCCGTCGACAACAGTACTTCAACCCCAACCAGGTGGCCTGTATTTCGGGCCACTCTGACATTAACTGCCTGGAATTAGTGCAAGCCCCCCAGACGGGGGCTTTAGACACCAGCCACCAATTGAGTAATATCCCAGGATGACTTCTACGACTCAGGGAGTGTTGTCTTTCATCTTTTGATTGTAAAAAAGTGTACTAGGCAGTAAACACCTGGGAGAAGTTATTTTTGATGGAAAAAAGTTCAATTTGTCTCACAGTTTTGGAGGTCTGCAGCCATAGGTCAGGCCGCCCCATCCATCCGGCATCTCATGGAAGCTAGCAAGGTCACTCCCCAGCTCCCATGTTGGGAGGGGCAGCAGGCTGAATAATGGGCCTCTCCCCAACATGCCTACATCTTAACCCCCAGGATCTCACCAGGCAATGTGGGATCTTGAGAAGAAAATCAGTCCTGGTTTCCAGGGATGGACCCCGTGGAATCTCACTTCTTTCTACGAGGGAGGCAGGAGAGTGCTTGGAGGTGTGAAGAGGGTGTACAAGAGAAAAGAATAACATTTGCATAAACAAGGGGAAAATACGGCAACAAGAAAGAATTCT